TCGTGTTATCAATCAAGTCCACAGAAGACAAAAAGGTCAAGTATAAGGCTAGGTACGTCGTTGGAGGACACCGTGACAAGTTAAAGGACATGATGGTGCACACATCGACGACACTCCAGCCACAGTCTATAAGGCTTTTGCTAGCGATGGCATCAATGTTTGGCTTCGATGTATGGACTGCGGACGTAAGGCAAGCCTATCTCCAAGCTGCAGAACCGCTTTCCCGGGAAATATTCCTGAGGAGGCCTGCCCCAGAATTCGAACTGAACCCTGAACAGTGCTTTCAGCTACTAAAGCCCTTGTATGGACTCTGCTAATCTGGTGATTTATGGCATGAGACGCTGGACAAGCATCACCGCGCTGGCCTCGGAATGAAACCCTTTAGTGTTGACCCTGCCTTGTATTATCTCACTAGTAACGGGATTCTTCGAGGACTCAGTGGCAGCTATGTAGATGACATCATCCGCACAGGTGATGATAAATTCCGCAAGATATCGAGGAAGACAGGCGAGAAGTTCGAGATGGCAGAAGAGGAACAGATACCGTGCAATTTTACTGGATTTTCACTCAGCCGTGACAGCGAAGGAAACATTATGTTGGATCAACATGCGTACTTTCGCAAACTCGACATCCTCCATTCAGACGCATCGTTCGGGATGCTTCGCTCAATGAGAATGCGGTTAGCGTGGTTGTCTAACTCCAGACCAGATTGCGTATTCGAGGTATCACAGCTTGCCCAAGTTACCGAAAGCATGTTTGAAAGCTCTAAGAAGCAAGTCATCAAGCGCCTGAACAAGGCTGTCAAGTACGCTATCAAAAATCAGCTCTCGCTTAATGTCCGTCGGCTCGAAACCAAAAGCATCCGCATTATTGGATTCTCGGACGCATCTTTTGCGAACAATGCAGAACTCTCATCTCAGCTCGGGTACATAATATTTCTTGGTGACAGACACGAAAACGTCGTGCCCATTTGCTTCAAGTCCTACAAAGCGCGTCGAATGACGCGGTCTGTCATGGCAGGTGAAGTTATTTCTTTCAGTGATCTCTTCGATGCCGCCGCCGCACTATCGCAAGACCTTGCAATTGTACTGGGAAAACGGGTACCTGTCCAGTTGTTTTCTGATAGCAAGTCACTTTTCGATGTCATATTTAAGGGTTTTCGCACCTCTGAGAAGAGAACAATGCTTGACATTACCGCGGCGCGAGAGGGATTCAAAGAAAACATCATTTTGGATATCGGGTTTGTTAGGAGTTCGGACAATTTGGCTGATGGACTTACAAAGTACATGTCCCAAGCTCAGCTGCATAGGGTAATCGCTGAAGGGACGCTTCAGGTAACACCAGAGTAGTGGATTGTAAGAGCCTGAGAAATATTGTGAACGAACTGTTTGGTCAGTCGACTTTATTGACCGTCGCCGTACTAAGTTGGAACATTTCGGCTACCCTAAGTCTCTTAGCCCCCGGACCACCACACATCTCCAAGCTCTCTTGTCTCAATCGCATAGGATGTTTTTCCTCGGAGTCGTATATGACAGATTTATCAGCATCCAAAGCGATACAGTGATCCACAACATTCGCCTGGACGAGGCGCACGATCGAAACACCTTTCGAGTCTTCAGGTAGCCATGCAAAAGGCGATTTCAACTTATCCAGGTGTAATATCTTTCTCACACCCTTACTCGGCTTCCTGATTCTACAGTTGATCCCCATCCGACGAACAACATTTCCCACCTGTCCGACTTTCGTGAAAAGCATTGACTCCGCCAACATTCGAGCTCGCATTTTATCCGCCACTCCCGACCCACGCCAAGCGCCACATGCATTTACAGTGGCGGCTGGTAAACAGTCCAAGTCACAACTGCTCGCGTACAGAAGATGCTCATGCAACAAATGATAGAGAGCTAAAGCATTACTTTGCTTCCTCGAACCGGGACCTCCTAGCATCACAACTATTACTGGATTGCGCTTGACAAATTTTAGGACCGACTCCCGAACAAGTTTCTCACATCCCGTACCCATAACTTGAGAAAGGGTGTTAGTGAAGGCTGGTACCAAGCAAGCGCGTGGGAAAATTTTTCGATCCTTATCTAGCGCACGAGTGTTGAAAGAAATTGCTCTCGAGCCACTCGGCGTGACTTAGAGTGAGGACTTGTCCACCTCGTGGAAGCTTTCATGCGCGGTCATTAGAGCAGACGCATACAATTTACCGAATTTCAATGTGAGACTGTCCTTGCCACGTGATCTATCGCCCCACAAAACCGCCTCTATTTCCCAAGCTGATATTTCAGCTCTCCTGAGTGACTTGGTATTAATTTATTCACGTACACCCCCGGACTTTAGGTCCGATCTTCCGTATCTCATGATTGACCTGGGACTAAGCGCCTCACGTACACCCCCACGCTTTGGGTACGTCTCAACATCTCGCAACTCCGAGCGTGACATCCTCACACACCGGTGTTCCGAGGATGAGCGTAGTTAAGGACGTAGCCCTCCAATTGCAACTGATGCGTACGGATGTGCAGGACGACGTGTTGCGGAATGAAAATGGCTAGGAGTCGCAGTACAAAGGTTAGAAGGGGCCCCTCGCTCGTCGCTCAATATGCGAGAGAGGATAAAACTTGTGGATAGGAGATGGGTTATTGCGCGGAGCTGTTCTAACTGCAACTGTGCAACAAGCTTGAAGGTACTGCATTTAAATAGCAACTATGGAGTGCAACGGGCAACTGGAGGGAGTGCAGATAGTTGCAGTGTCCTTCCAGGAGTGTCCTTCGAGGAGTGTCCGTCTAGAAGTGTTCTTCAAGCTAAAGGGCGGGGGAATGTTGGGGCCTCACGGATTTCACTCAAATCAGGGATGTGAGAGTTGCGCTCTGTGCGCTCGTGTGATATCGCGCCCGATCGCAACGTGCACGTTACAGTACTTTGCACGATGTCAGCTGCCTCGTTCCTGATCGTGAGAGCAGTAGGAAGTTTGCAGTGATCGACACGGTCTCATTGCCACGCCAAGGTCGCAGCCGTAGCCCTTCCTCGAGTTGAATAAACTACCCCCTTTTTTCCCCAACCACCTTTTCCCGTAGCGCAGCTATCGTACGTGCTATTCCAGCTTTGGATTGTACCGATCGCCACGCACGTTGTGCAGTTTCTCTCGAGTTCCGCGACAGAGGCAGGCAAAAATTGGAGTACACCAGTCGGGAAGGGTACCGCCGGAGCCATATCCATTCCAAAAAATAATGGACTAATTTTTGGAGAGGTTCAAAGATTAAATTTGGCCGGCTGGCGATAGCCAATCGCAGCAGTAGGAAATTTGCACCCTGTGTGATTTGGAAAGCACGGGTGGAGACGCTCTAACACCTAGAAATATCAATGATCTCCCTGGTTGTTGTCGTGTCCTTCAGAGGATGACACTAATTTGTACTTCGGAAATTTCAGGGACACGACATGTAGAGTCACCTACTCTATATTTGTTCTTACACTAATTTTTTGCTGACACTAATGGCAGTAACTTGTGTAGAAGCCTCGACCTTTCGTCCGCGCACGTGGTTGTGTCAGTCTTGGGGTGACCGCAATTATTTAAATTTAAGGAGCACCAGACCTTAAACTCATTCTGTCTCGGCATTAACTCAACAATAGATCATAGATCTTTTAACTCGGATTCTCGGCAGAGTCGGCACGTGTTGACCGGTTCCACGTGTCATACGTTATCATTAGAATGCCACGTGTTTTCCTCTATAACATGTTCGTACGTGTACAACATGTTGACGCGTGTACAGGTGTATCAAAATACATCGTGTACACGTTTCATAAGCCAACGCTATCGATGTTCAGAGCCCTTCCGCCCGACCAAGGAGACCTGCACAATCTCCACCTTCATCCATTTCCCCCGAACCAAGCTCTGCTCGTAATGCCCATTCCCCTTCCTCCACCTCCATGCCGCTGCCTCAACATCTCCTGCTCGCCATGACTCCCATCACCAGCACCGACATCGCCTCGTCCTCCCCTGCTCCCTTTCTCCCCCGCATAAGGACCTTCCTCCTCGCCTTCATCTGCCTCTACTTCCTCATCTTCCTCCTGCTCACCTTCTCGCACCGCGTGCAAACCTACCTAATCTACCTGCACTGGTTGCGCCCGCCCTTCTTCTACCCTCTGCACACCCTCGAGCCCTACCGCCTCGCCTCCTCCGCTCGCGTCGTCTCCCACAACCATCTACGCGGCTGGCACCTCCTCCCGCCGGGCCCGCCCTTCGTCGACGGCTCCCCCGCCCACTTCGACACGCTCCTCTCCCGCCCGCGCCAGCGCGTCGTCATCTTCTTCCACGGGAACTCCGGCACGCGCTCGTGCCCGACCAAGCGCGTCGACTCGATCAAGTTCCTGGCCGCCCACCTGCGCGCCCACGTTATCACCTTCGACTACTCGGGCTTCGGCGACTCGTCCGGCCGCCCGTCGGAGCAGCAGCTCAACGACGACGCCGCCGCCGTCTTCCAGTGGGTCCACGCGCGCGTCGCACCCGAGACAGACGTCATCGTGTACGGACAGTCACTAGGCACTTTTGCCGCCGTAGACCTCGCCGCAAACTTGAGTCGCTCCCCGCCGCCCGCCCGCAGGCCCCGCGCTGTTATTCTTGACGCACCCCCGGCTTCGCTCATCGACGCCGCGCTCACTCACCCCATTGCCAGTCCATTCCGCGTCCTGCCGCACATGCCGGCATTTTTTCGGTTCTGTCTTAAGGAGAAGCTGGACTCTATCGCGAAAATTGGGCACGTCTCCATGCCCCTGTTGATTTTGCACGGCGAGAGAGATGCTATGATTGGCGTGGAGCAGGGAGAGAAGCTGTATCAAGCTGCAAGGGGGGCGGGGAATGATAAGGTTCAGTTCGTCAGGTTTCCTGACAGAGGGCATAATGATGTTAATCGTGCTCCGCACTATTTAAGGGTTTTGCACAGCTTTTTGGACGACGCGCTTTCGACGCAGTGTCGCATTGGAACGGAGTCGTGAAGGGGAAGGTGTGGGAAAGAGTGTTTTTGTATTTTATATGGCGGACCACAGCCGCCCTGGCGACTTACCTTGCGTTTGTTATCCACATACGCTGTCCGTACAGGCACATGTTGAGAGTGGCAGCTTGAAGCTTCCTTACCCTTTTTTTCAGTGGATACTGCAAGCAAGCAGTCCGTGTTCGCGTATGGCTCGACTTGCTTTTGCGGCTGCAGATGTCGGGCTGTGGAATATCTGGGTCTTTCTGTAACAGTCTTTGGCAACGCGGCAAGCAGTGCCATGGCCTCGAGGGATAACCCCTGATTGGATAGGAGTTGTCCGACGTGGGTGCTTAGAGCTGTGAGGGAGCAAAGTGCGGCGAGGGATCAAAGTGCAGCTTGAAGAGGCTGTCAACTATTGTCAGCTCACTGGATGCGAGGCTCAGTGGCGGTATGTCAACTGTGTACGAAACTGCTGTTGACAAACCGGCAGTACTAAGTGTTAGATGTCTCGATACGCCGTACTGAAGTTGCATAGCTTGTCCAAGCGGGCTTGCGGGGAAAAAAAAAGACGGCAGTCATCCTCTCCCATCGTGACTATCCGCATCGCTATCGAAATTAGCAGCTGACTCCCTTCCACTGCTCGTATTCGCTCTGCGGTCCCAGAACTTGTGCACGACGACGAACGTAAGCGCGGCGCCGAGCAATCCTCCGCCAAACACGAGGCTCCCGACGCCCGCGGCGGCGCCCATGACGACGCCCTGTCCCTGAAAGCTGACCTCGCTCCCGACTACGCACCACCTGGCAAAGCTCTCGCAGTTCTCGAAGAGGAGGTGGTAGCGGCTGTGCCCCAGGCGCGACTCTGCGCGGCGCACGACATCCGCGTGCGCGTACACACGCGCATGCTCGGCCGCATCGTATGTGACCGTGTGCACGGCACGGCCTGAGGCGCCGTCGAACTCAGAGAGAGAGGTGCGCATTATCGAAGCGTTGTGCAGCGTCTTCACCCCGTTCATGCCAGAGTAGTGGATGACAGACCCGTCCGGGCACAGGATGCCGTGGTGCCAGAAGCCTGTCAGACCGTCTTCCTGGCCAGCGCCGCGCCACACCATGATGTGAGACATTGCGGGAGTTTGTTGGGGTGCCGCAGGGAGCGAAAGGGTTGGACATGTAAACTGGACGTGTTGATAGTGGTGATGAGGATGCTGAGGATGCCCTTGTTGCGAGATGGGGGTGTGGCTCATGTGTGGCTTCGCTGATGGTGCACGTGTGCACGGTGGAATCTGTGTACACGTGTGATTTAATTCGTAAAAATTAGAGACGAAGAGACGAATATAGTATATTGTTGGATACGTGTATTGGAGAGCCCGTTCCTGTATTTTTGAGAGTCTCTGAATAGAACGAAGCAATAAACCATGTTCTTGCCATGTCCCAGAATCATGTGTGTTGTTGTACTTTATGCTTCAGTCATATACAGCAGTCACCACTATAGCAACATGTCGTCTCATCCAGTGCTATCAAGTCCTAGCGCAATATTTCTTAATTAAGCCACATATCCCAGCAAACAATTAGTAGCAGATTGAGGCACGCAAATATCCGACTGCCTCGCGAGTTACCTCAATATTAAACAACTTCAAATTGAATTTTGCTGCCAGATGAAAATGCTGTAAATGCCCTCCACTATTATCTTCATTTCGCTCTCAATAAGACTCACCGGTTGCACCTGCCTGGTATATTATTCATAAGGGCGACACATTCCTTCTCTCTATGACCTTTTCACAATATAGTAGCAATCGCACGCGACACGCCTAGATAATCCATGCAGCGTTAAAGTTCCGTTGAGCGTTTAGAAATGATTCTTGAATTTCGACGAATACGCCTTCTTTTCCACCCCTCCAAATTGCTTACATCCCTCTTTTCCACCTCATGGCTTTTACAGTGAACCCTCCCGATAAGGATCATTCTCCATATAGATATCCTCCGTAAACGGATAAAAAGTCGAGTGACGTACTCCGTAGCTTACAAATTTTTACCAAAAAACAATGTCTGTGGAATATTCCTCAATTGGATATCGGGTTCAATGTGAAATAAGCATATCATACAGACCCCTCCTACTTAAAACGTATTTTATGGTTACTTTTGAGCGGCCAAGGCACATATTACCCCACAACCGTTCATTCTTGATCAATCCATTCACAATCTGCTCAATAAATTCCAATCCCCATCTGAGGCTTCGCAATTATCATCATTCTCGACAAAAACATCTTTTTAGCATATGCTTCTGTTGGTCCTCCCCTAATAAATCTCCTCTGATCGCAAACATTGTGTGTTGTCAGCACCGTAGCCATCTGCCCCCGTCAAGCGACAATCGTCGATGAAGCGCTCTGAGCTTAACCTCGCCCAAAAGCAACAAATATGTGCAGAGTTCCAACGGCGCAAAAAGAGCAAGGAGCAGACGTCACAAAGCGCCCTTGCGAAGTGGGCCTCAGTACAGTTTTCCCTTTCCAAACCTCCTGCTCAAGCTTTCATGTCCCGCATCATCAACGGAAAGTATGGATTTCGTCCCGATATCTCTACAAAAAAGTTCAAGCGCTCCGCGTCAGTTACCAGCCCACATCTCGAACGCGCAGTCGCAACTTGGGTCTCTGCCCAATTTGCAAATAGGGTAAACATCACAGGTCATCTTATAACTACGCAAGCGGAGCGCATTCAATCACAGCTCAACAAAAACCTTCCTCCTGGTCAGCAGACTACTCTCAATTTTTCCAAAGGGTGGCTTCAAAAGTTAAAAAGCGTTGGAATCTGAGGTCATACAAGTCCTTTGGGGAATCAGGGGACGCAGACATGGAGGCAGTACAACAGCATCTGCCCGCACTTCAGAAAAAACTGAAAAACTACGCCTTCGGAGACATATGGAACGCTGATGAATTCGGGCTTTTTTATCGAATGGCACCTGACCGCACCATTGCCGAGCGTGCTCTGAGTGGTGCTCTGAGTGGTCGTAAAAAAGATAAAACGCGATTAACATATCTCGCGTGCGCGAATGCTGATGGTTCTGAGCGGTTTCCTTTAATGGTCATCGGGAAAGCAGAGAGGCCTCGTCTGTTTAAAAAGAAATATGGGCACCAACTGGGGTTCGACTACTATAACAACGGCAAGGCTTGGATGACAGCCATGCTCTTTTTTTGAATGGCTAATGCAGTTTAACTTCTACATTGCAAGTACGCCTGGTCGAAAAGTTATTCTTCTGTTGGACAACTGTAGCGCACATGGAAAGTATGGTACAATTCCGTCCCTCAGCAAGTGGTTGTGGAGTTTTTGCCGGCAAACACTACATCTAAAATATAGCCAATGGATGCCGGAGTGATAGCAAGTGTGAAAGTTTTATACAGAAAGTGGCAAATGGAACGCGCTTTAGATAATTTAGATGCTGGTGCAAAGAATATCTACAATGTCAATCAACTGCAAGCCATGGTTCAAGTTCGGCGCATTTGGAAGAGTATGTCAAAGGATGTAATTTTTAATTGTTGGATACATACGGGGCTTTTGGACGAGAAGATACCGCCTGAAGCTACGACAACTGACGCAGATTGTCGAAAGAGTACAGTAGAGGAGATTGAAGGAATGGTGGGGCAGTTGATGGGCTCTCGGGCGAGGATCTCTATTGAAAATTTCTTAAATCCCTCAGAGGAAGATGAGGTAACGGCAATGGTATCAGTTGAGGACGTGGTGTCAAGTACGATTATGGAAATGAGGGATGGCGAGGATCAAGATAGGGATCGAGCGGAAAGAAACGACAGTGAAACCTGCGAATCGTTCACAATTAACGAGCAATTGAAAGCATTAGCAATTGTTAAGTCTTTGTTGGAGGATTGCGACGACATTTCTCCAGAAATTCGAGTTGTGATCAATCGTCAGCAGCGCAGTTTGCGTACCAAGAAGGGGAATTGCACAGTCCAGACGACGATAAATACATTTTTTAAGTAGAGCTCAGAAATTCTGAGAGATGCAGGTCACCGTGACACCGTTATGATACGGTCTCCGGATGTGAATATCCTCCGCAAATGGATACGGATTACGTCCACCGAGCGTATCCATATCGGGAGGGTTCACTGTAGAATGCTCCGAATCAAAAATGCCTCTCGCGCTGTGCTTTTGCAAAAAAATTATACGAGACACAAACTGAAGCCGACTACATGATTACCACACTGTTCATTAAGCACAAAAACGCTGATCATACAAAATTGTAACCTTCTCGTTCCTCTCTTTTCTCATGCCCCTAACCGATATATCGAAATACCATCGTCTCTTGAGACGAATAGTTCATCATGAAGCTCCAATCGAATCTCTGTAACTCGCGCATCATTTCGACTGTTTGTACCTGTACCGGAACCCTTGCCCGTTTACTCCCTCTTGAGAGACACTCTTTTAAACTGAACCTATGCTGTTCATATCAGACGCCAACCCTACACTCGTAGGTCGAGAAAAACAATTTCCAGTCATCGCCACCCACTATGTTTTCTTGAAAACGACATTGACCTTCGTTATGTATAGACGGGTCATTCCAATGGCTGTTTTCGTGTGCCTGTGCATTCCATTTTTTGCTTGTAGGAATAAGACATGTTTTAAGCGCATTGTCCGCCAAAGATAGGAAAAGTTGTTGTGTCTTTCGCAATAATGTGATGAAATTTCATCTCTGTGGGTCTGCTACCGCCATTACACCTCCAAGAGATCCTGAAGTCGAGTAACAAGCTCTTGACCCTATTCAGCTCCTGTTTCCGCAGCCCATAGTACGCAGGACCACCCACCATCAAAAATTGCCTCATGCAGTGAGAAAATCACAGAGGATTACTAACAGTAATCCTTTAAACAGCTCATTGCTTTCAAAGGTAGAAATCTTCAGTCGACCTTGTCAGACTTTTCTTCCTCCATGTCCCGATCAGCCATCTAAGACGTGATTTAGTTGTTTTCGACGCAACAATAACAGCTACAAAAGACGTGAAAAATGACGATTCGCACTGGACAAGTCTTTTGCGATATCTTCTGAAAGACTTCATACGACTGAATCTCATTGACGATTTATGTTGAATCAGCCAGATCTAGGAATTTTCGAAGAGGAATGGCATGCTTCTTTATACAGAATATTGAAGTGCCTCATGTCTCAGACAACACTGAGATAGACAGTTTGAACTTTAGAATGTATGACAGCTCCCCTAGGCTCTCTCATCCACACACGGCGACACCTCAGATTGGAAATAACATTTTTAGCTTTATAGAATCCGTTCCATGATTTCAAGTGATGATTCATGAAACAGATGAATTTCGGAAAAAACTAAGCACCTACAAGGTGTTTCAGTTATTTATCCGGTTACAGATGTGGGGCCGTGGAATATCTGAGTCTTTCTGAGGCAGTCTTTGGCAACGCGGCAAGCTGTGCTATAGCCTCTAAGAGTGATACCTGATTGGGGAGAACTTGTCCTACGTAGGTGCTTAATGCCGTGAGGGAGCAAAGTGCTACGAGGGATCAAAGTGCTGCTTGAAGAGGCTTTCAAATGTGTACGAAGCTGCTGATGATAAACGGTCCGTACCAAGCGTTAGATGTATCGCCTCTTCATGTTGTGTTTGCATAGCTTGTTCAAGCGAGCTTGTAGGAAAAAAGACGACGGTCACCCTCTCCCATCATGACTATCAGCATTGCTCTCAACACTGGCAGCTGCATATGTTCCACCGTTCGTATAAGATCTGCGGTCCCAGAAGTTGGTGGAAGCGGCTGTGCCCCAGGCGCGCTCTACGCTGCGCACGATGTCCGCGCTCGCGTACATGCGCGCACGCTCGGCCGCATCGTACTTCACAGAGTGCACGTTATGCTCCGAGGCGCCTTCGAATTCATAAAGAGAGGTGCGCAATATCGAGTTGTTGTACTTTGTCCTCTTCTCGTCTATGTCATAGTAGTGGATGACACAGTCGCGGCAGAGGATGCTGTGGTGGCAGTAGCCTGTCAGATAGTATTCCGGGCTCTAACTGCGCTAAACCTTGATGTGAGACATTGGGAGAGTTGGTTAGGGGCTGGCAGGAGGGAAGGATTTATGTGAGAGAGCAGATGAGTGAGGCCAAATGCTAGGCGCTCGTCGTGCGCAATGGCGAGCGGAAGGAGTTGCGAGAGCGGAAAAGGGGGATAGCTAACAGGGAAGTGGATCGAGACTTAATGCAGGCGCCAGAAGAAAGAAGCAAGTTATCCCGGAGC